GTAAGAGGTTTTTATTTAATAGAATTTTTGGTCAAAAAAATCGCGATATATCACCTTGCTTATAGTATCGCAATATATCAGGATATATCTTATCATGACCCCTCTGTCATGATATGTATCGTATCGCCAAATTCTTGCCAATACACAGCCCTTACACAGACCGACACTTACTGGGTTCTAGAGATGGGATAAATGGCTCTTTGAAGGGATCTGGCTCTTGGGGAGCCGTTTGTTTCATAGAGCCATTCAAAAGAGCTGTTAGATTTTGAACGTATTACGTCATCACGTAGGAAAATAGGTCACCACGTAGCCGTACGTAATGACGTCATCCCGTCGCATGGGTAGAACCATGTTTTTGTCAAGTGGAAAGCCCCCCTCCCCGTTTCACTGTGAGCTTCTGTGCTCCACAACTCCGCCTGTTTTTTGTGAAAAAGCAAAGCGGGAGAGATTTAATTATGAAAAAAATAAAGATGATATGAGGAATAAAAGATATAAAACTACAAATGGCTTGTTACTGCCCGCGCTCCGGCTCCTATCGTTCATTGTAAAGAGCCGTTCAAAAGATTCGGATCGTTCATGAACGTCACATCTCTACTGAGTACTAGAGTTGGGCGATTAATCACGATTAATTGTGTCATTTTGCCGATAACGATTAATTTGACGATTAATAGATGATAATTACTCTTGCATGGTTTTGACTCTACATCAGTTACCCTGTGTTCTAAAATGGTACTTACAAGCCAGTTAGACTAAACTTTTCTGCATTTTAACAAGTTAAATAGTAAACAGAATCTCACCTTTTCCACAGTGAGGAGTGGCAGCATATCTTTAGTAATACAAAATCCCACCTCCTGTGTTACCTCCTTCCAGTGCTTACTTTGCCGCTTGTAAGGGACAGATCGACTGAAGACCTCGTTGATTCTTGGCTGAGTAGATTTGTTTCCAACATTCCCTGGAGAGTTTGTTGTAGCTGACGTTGCCTCGGTCCGCATCTTCTGGCTCTCGTCGTACTCCGGTTTATGGTGGTATTTTAGACGATTAAACAAGTTCGTAGTGTTACCTTGTGTCTTCACTTTACAGTTGCATGGCTTGCACATGACCCAGACCTGCTCAATATTTGAGCTTGCGAAGCCAAACCAGTTCAACACAACCGAAGTTGAACTTTGTTTAGGGACGATGGGCTCTGCACCTCCTTCCGCCATTGTTCTGTTATGGACACATATGCGCGCTTGTGGGTGACTGTGAATGTGAGTCGCACACAAAGCACGTCATCATCCCCCAACACTAATTGCAGAGATCACGAAGGGGAAAACGTTAATCGGTTAAAAAATTTCTGACGATTAATTGCACACGAGATGATTTTTCCCAAACCTACTGGGTACTTACTTGTTACCTACGTGTACCAAGGTTCATACCCAATATTTGTCTTTTAAATATATGCTCTAGCAAGTATTGAGACAATTTTCTTGTGTTCTCGAGGTGTCAAAAACAAGAATGAGGTTCGGTTTGGCCTGGATGTYCTGATATGTCCTAAATATCAACATTTCTGCACCCCCATTCTGACCACAATAATTTTGGGACATCACACAAGAAAAACGTTCGTCTAAGATCATGTGCTGAAAACAAACTGAACCCCTCAACCATACCTGGTTTATTACCTGATAGATATGAGGTACAAAGCCTGTAAGAACCAGGTAACAAGTCACTGGACTCAGCATTGCCACTACCTCTTAGTTTCCAAAGCCTTARCTTTTATCAAAAAGAAAAAAATTRTGTAGGTCTTCTGGACGGGTTCTTCTCTAATGAAACGTTTCGTCTCTCCTCCAAGAGACTTCTTCAGTCTGAGAGTTTCAGGCAAAATTCAGGCTTTTAAGCTTGGGTTCAGGTTGGGGTGGCAAGAGTGATGCTCACCCATGTGCAACGTGTGGCC